TTTTAACCCCCTGAATATGGTCTCAGATCACATTGAAAATACTTGGTAAAATAAAAATTATTTGAAAGAAAATTTTGGAATTTTTCTTAATCAATTTTCTACAGCAACCAAGAAATTATTCTGTGGACTTGAAAGGATTCAAATTAAAATAAATAAAGATAATACGTCTAACCAAACCTGCTTGTATATATATATATATATATAATATTTTAAACGTTTCACCCCAAGCAAGGCAGGAACCCACTAGCACACAAGGGGTTACAGATAGTTGGAGTGAGAGCAAATAGGAGTGATAGAGGAAAGATGAAGAGAAGGATAGGGGGATAGATCAAGGCATCTGGAGACGTCGATTGACATTACATTTGAATAGTTGGGGATTATAGCTATCAGGGAAACAGGAAGAGGGTAGGGAGTTCCACAGGCGAGAAGTGCGAGACATGAAGCTATTGGAGTAGAAGAGACAGCTAAATTTAACAGTTTCGACAGTGAAAGGGTGAGAGCGAGATGCCAGCCTAGTTGAGCGCTTAAATTCATGAAGTCTGGGAACCAGCGAAAGCAGCTCATCGGAGCAGTTTCCATGAAAGTATTTGTTAAAAAGATAGAGGGAGGCGATGGCACGTCTGTGGGAGAGCAACTGCAGACGAGATGCCAGATTAGGGCCAATTACATTGCATAAACCTTGAGACAAACAGAAGGGTCTCCAGACCATATATGGCAACAATACGCCATACAAGGGCGAATGGTTGATTTGTAGATTTGAATGATCGACTCCGGTGAGAAAAATTTTCTGGCGCGGCACAGGTAGCCGATTTTCCTTGCGGTGGACGAATTCTCTCTCTCTCTCTCTCTCTCTCTCTCTCTCTCTCTCTATATATATATATATATATATATATATGTGTGTGTGTGTGTGTGTGTATGTGTGTATGCATATTGGTTATTTTAGAGTAAGTTGTTGCACAAATTTGAACCTGAAATCCACAAATTTGAACCTGAAATCCACAAATATGATACTAGTCGCTGTTTTATAACAAGTAACAGTGAAAAACTGATTATTTGTTTCCCAGTGTTGCAAGTTTAATAGTTTGGGAACTGGAGTTGTTAAGTTTGTCTCTTTACTTATTCACTTGTGGCCTTATGTCTGACAAAGGTAAGCTAGTTAAATATCAGCACACACGCTTTGGTAATTATCTTTAACCAATATTTCAACTGTTACGCTACACAGTCTTACCGGTAAAACAATGATTCTGCATATTTCTGCTGATGGAGCTAAGTACTTGCATGCACTTATACGCACGCGAGAAACAATCGACAAGGAGTAGAAAATAAATAAATTAATCTCCTCAACGACAACCCAGCCAGACCAAGATGGTGGATCTTTTTCTGGCTATACGCGGCTCATTAGAATCGAATTTCCGTCTCCTCTGAGATTTCCAACCCTTTCTCTCGACAGTTAATGGACGGTGGCAAATAATGTTTCGAATACAGGCAAGTATCTCTTTTTTCAATGATGACTGCATCCTGCTCAGTCCCTATCCCTTTTCCCTTGACACCCACGCGGTCAGTTGGGTCGGCATTGGGATTCGTGGGTGGGGAGGTGGCCCAAGTTCTGGAATGCTACAGAGTTAATAATTCATCTTTTTTTTTCTTTACCCAGACAATCTAAGGCTGGGGTGTTAGAAACATGAAGAAGGCATCGGGAAAGATATTAAAGGAAAAAAGAAGCTGTGGAGAGCGATGAACGCTTACGTTCTGAAGAAAAGTACTTTTTTTTAAAAAAATAGATTTCTCGTACACATTCATTGTTATTTTTGGGTCTTCTTTTATAGTTTTTCCTTCATCATTGTATTTTTCTCTTCCTTCTCGATTTTTGTATCGGAGCTACACGTTCTTCTTTTTCCTTTCCGTGTTGCATATCTCACCCTTTTTCACACGAATTTCTACTTTTTTTTCTTCTCTCACTTTCATATATATACCTTTTGTTTCTTCCTTCTTCCTTTCAATATTTTTTCTCCTAACAGTTAGTCTTCCTCTTCCTACTTTTCTTGTTGTTGTTGTTGTTGTTGTTGTTGTTGTTGTTGTTCTTCTTCTTCTTCTTCTTCTTCTTCTTCTTCTTCTTCTTGTCCTTCGCCTTTACATAGTTACTCCTTCGTTTTCTATCGTTTTTCGTCGTTTTCTTTTTGGGGATTTTGGCATTTTTGCAGTTTATCCTCTCTTTCCCATTTCCTTCTTTTTTCTCATTTTCATCGTTTCTTCTTCTTCTTCTTCTTCTTCTTCTTCTTCTTCTTCTTCTTCTTCTTCTTGTCCTTCGCCTTTACGTTGTTACTCCTTCGTTTTCTATCGTTTTTCGTCGTTTTCTTTTTGGGGATTTTGGCATTTTTGCAGATTCAACCACTCTTTCCCATTTACTTCTTTTTTCCCATTTCCTTCTTTTTTCTCATTTTCATCGTTTCTTCTTCTTCTTCTTCTTCTTCTTCTTCTTCTTCTTCAGATAATTGCTTAATTCTTCTTTCCTAATGAATATTAATTCTCGTATCCATTTTCTTTTACTTTTCCTCTAATCCAACTCCTCTACTTCTTTTTCAAGAATTAATGAATTTTATTTTCGTAATTCGACATATTTATTAGGTCAAACGTCATTTTGTCGTGGATAATACTATTTCTTTATTAAGATTCTTGAAAATAAACAGCGTCTACTCAAATACGGGTATCCTTTAAAAGAACGTTTGAAATAATAATAATAATAATATATATATATATATATATATATATATATATATATATATATATATATATATATATATATGCATAAAAGGTTAATGGTCAGAGTTGAATCAGGCCAGGAAACGGTGGTATTAAAAAGTGCTCAATACAGGTGTGAAAAAAAAATAAAATTAAAAATAACATGTAGAGCTTTTAACTTTTAAAAATCAGGAGATCTGTTGTATAGTAGAGGATTCAACTGACCACCTGCTTTTTAAAGTTATATATATATATATATATATATATATATATATATATGTATTTCTAGAGAAAGGGATGGATAATTTATTACTTAATCGTTATTTTTAGTGGGTATAACTGAATATTCATTTATTTTCATCTAGCAGCCTGATTATTCCAGAAATTTTATTAGAGAATAATATGCTGTCCCCTGCCTATTCAGGCCGGTAGACTAAAAAAATAAATACACTTTTTAATAAATAAACGGATCGTCTACTCAAATACGAATATCCACTAAAATAACGTTTAAGTAATATTATAAAAAATGTTTAATTAATTTTAATGGTTGCCTTCTCAAGATCATACTTATTATAAAACTCAGGTTGTGTGTGTGTGTGTATGTACATTTATATATTGGATCGGATTTCCTACATTTTTCAACCGATTTCAACAAAACTTCACAGGTCTACGTAAAATTACCTTGTGGTGGTTCTGGCAGCGCCAAAAATTGGAAAAACGGAATTGTTTTGGGACAAAATCAATTTGAAAACACGATTAAGAGGCATCGCGAGAATGAAAGGGGTACAACTCATATCGAGTTATACTTATTATAAAACCCAGGTTGGTTGTTTCTGTGTGTGTGTATGTGTGTGTGTGTGTTTGTTTATATATGGGATTGAATTTCCTACATTTTTCAACCGATTTCAACAAAGCTTTTTTTTGGCAGGTAGTGTTTCTTATTGTCTTGCACACTTTTTTCTTTATTTTTACATTCAGAATGCTTTAAAAATTCCATTTACAAGACAATTGTTTATAATAAAATTCTATTCAATCGGTAGACTCATAACGATTGAAAACAATGTTTTTGTTTGAGTTTGGGTTTGACCAATTCGTAAAAAAAAAAAAAAAAAAAAAAAAAAACTAATTAAGACATGCGTGTCCGTCAACCTTAAACAATAATTTTTGTCAATTTTATTTTTCAGTCTTTATGATGGTCGATACTTGATCTATCTCTTACTGTTACATCCTTGGGCAACGCCGGACTCTACTGCTAGTTACTTATAATCCTTCTCGTTCAACAAGAAACCTGTCAGAAATTATATATAATATAATTATATAGTCGACAAACAAACGAAATTTCATTAATAAAAAACAGTCGTAAACATATTGACAATATCGCTATTAATATATATCAAAATCAAATGCAACACAATTACAAAAAAGACGAAATAGAAATAAAAGATATCATACATATCTATATATATATATATATATATATATATATATATATATATATATATATATATAAAGTTGTAGCCTCTGTATGTCTGTTTGCTTGTTATCGAAATCCTAGGGTTTTGGAGATAGACCCACATAACCATGTATATTCTGAAACTACATTACCCAGGGTACTTGGAAAAGTATATTTTATTTTCATCAGAAGGAGTTCTCGGTAGGATGGGTGGGGGTTTGTTGTGGTCACAAACCCACCACTGATTTTTTCCCTTTGATTTAAATTGAAATTTGAAGAAGGGAATAATTCCTATCCAAAATATAGAAGGTGAAAGCCAGAAGATGGAGGTCACATCGGCAAGATCATTGAGTAATAATTAAATGCACCATTTTTCTCCACAAATTATAATAATGGTTTAAAATCAAGCATCATTTTCTAACAAAAATCCATTTGAATATTCAATAACAAGGTAGGCAATGATTGGCCCATACTTCAAATTTCATGTGTTATCCACAATCTTGCCTTTCTGGTTATTGAATTAATATTCAAATGCTCTGTCATTTTTATGGCATAGAGCACTTTTATGCCAGAAGGCAAATTTTAGGAAGACTCTATTTAGAGCTGCTTATTCAATATATATATATATATATATATATATATATATATATATATATATATATATATAAATTAATTGATTTTTTTCGCTACACAGTTCTAACCATGTTTCAAAAATGGAAGCTAAAAGCTCTGAATTTAATTTTGTAATTAAAGAAATTAGTTTCATTTCAGCCTCAAGCGAATTTTGGAGTAACTTTTAAAATTACTAGGTTTTAAAGACACAGATAAAATCATAATTCACGTTTCCAAGGTTACAGATAAATCCACTTCCACTAGACAGGGGTGTTAGCGTGTTCATTATCGCTGTATTTTGATGTATCAGTTATTAGTTACGTTTTGGTAGGGGTAGGGATGTATTTTTCAATGAAATCTAACTTCCGTTAAAAGCATGTCGTCTGGATTTTTTTTTAAATTTATTGTTAACGGCAAAAATTCTTACGGCATCTTTTTCTATTTGTATATTTAAAGATTTGGGGGGTGGTGTTTAGGTTAGAATACGTTTTATTTAACTACGATTTTAAATATTTTCACTTTTAATTTTTAATATACTATATTTCTTTTAAGAACAATTAAATGTATTAGAATCCTTTACAGTATGTAGAATTATTTTCACATCAAGTATAAGTATGTATATTATTAGGTAACAATTTTTTTATATTTAAATATTATTTAAGTAAAATTTATGACAATGACGGCAAAAATAGCTATATATATATATATATATATATATATATATATATATATATATATTTAAATATAAAAAAATTTGTAACCTAATAATATACATATTATATAAATATATATATATATATATATATATATATATATATATATATAGTCAACGACGAAATTATTCGTACACCCATCAATTTTGAATATTTTTATCCATTTGTCAGAATCTAATTCCCGTATGATGCCAGGTTTTTTATATGTTAATAAACACACACATAGAAAAAGGAATATAAAACTTAATTTTCAGAACAACAGGTTAAATACAATAAATTTGACAGGCGAATTATGAAAAATAGGAAAAGACAACATTATTCGTAAAGAATGAAAAATAGAAAAAATGAACAATTTTCGAAATATTAATTGTCAATAGCATGGCCTCTCATCGTTATAACTTGCAATCGTCTTCTATAGATTTTGATGAGATTTAAACAAGAGTTTTCTGGGATTTTCTTCCATTCTTCAATGACTTCACGCTCTAATTGCTAAAGGATTTTTGGTGACCGACGATTTATTTGTACTTTCAAATCTTGCCATAGATTTTCAGTAGGATTCAAGTCAGGACTCATTGACGGCCAAGGCAGAAGTGTAATCTTCTTTTCTGAAGTCACATAGTCACTGATTTAGAAGTATGTTTGGGATCATTATCTTACTGGAAAGTAAATCGTCGACCTAGATGAAGACTTTGCGCCGATAGTTGTAGATTTTCACCTAGAATTTTGATATAGTCTGCAGATTTCATTATTTCTCTTATTGCAATTAATTGTTCAGTTCTCCTCGAGCTAAAACAACGCCAAAACACCATCGAGCCACCCCCGTGTTTTAATTTTGTCACTGTGTTCTTTGGGAGGAAAGCTTCATCTTTTTTGCGCCAAATCTTCTGGATATCGTTATGTAAAAAAAGCTCAATATTTGTTTCATCACTCCATAGTAATTGTTCCCAAAAGCTATTTTCTTTGTCCAAGTACATTTTCGCAAAATTAAACCCAGCAACAAAGTGAAATATGTGTGAAGAATATGTGTTAAATATGTGTGTCAGTTTCCTTACAACCCATTTCTATTTAAACAGCGTTGTATTATAAGCGAGTATTTACGCGGACACACATCGTATCCAAACTTTTGGCGATGTCTTTCAAAACAATTCTTGGCTTTATATAAATCTTGTGATACAGTTTTCGTGCAGTTCTCAGTGACAATTTGGGTTTTCTTCCACGACCAGGCAAATTCTCCGTGGTGCCAAACTGTTTAAATCCTTTTTTTTTTATAACAGACTGGATCTAGGGATAGCTAACCGGTTTGAAATAGATCTGTAACTATTTCCCAATTTATGGAAGGTATTAAATCTCTGTCTCAAATCAAAGGTAATCTCCTTTGTTTTTCCCATCGTGTTGTTAACGTAAGAATAACAATAATGACACTCTATGCAGCACGTGATGTTCTTTGCAGGAATTATCACAATTATTCTACTGAATAAATAGCCTAGAAGGCTTCACCAATAACTTAAGTATATAAATTACTTATAGTTACACGAATCAATCAATTTAAAACAATATTTTCTACTGTAAGAATAATTTGTATTTTCCTATTTGCATAATTCGCCTGTCAAATTTGCCGTATTTAGGCTATTGTCCTAAAAATTGAGTTTTATATTCCCTTTTTTGTGCGTATTGACATATATAAAAAAACCTGACTTCATATGGGCGAGAAATAGATATTCAAAAATTGATGGATGGGTTTCGTAGTTGACTGTATAATTATTGTTATCGTAACTGGTGTCGCTAAGATTAAACTTGACGTGAATAATGAAGGTTATAAATACAAAGACTGTGAAATTGACATTTGTTATACATTTCGTTTTCTATTTAAGTAAAAGTGTAGTAAATTCAGTTACACTTTGTTTTCCTAATTAGACTAGTTGGCCATCAATGCTAAGAGATCATTTTACATTTATTATAACTATTCTGGAATATGTACATTCA